GTGTTATTTTATCTGTTCACCTGGAAACTTCTCACTTATTGATAAATATTGACCAATAATTAAGTACGATGAACATTATTAAACATATTAAAATAGATATATCTATAATCAGGAATATTATCTTGGCACTTATTGTGGTTCAAGTCACTCTATGAATAATTTATTAATAAAATTATTAAGTATCATAGTAAAAACAGCTTTGCAATTTAATATCTAAATTATGCAAGTAAAAATGTAAAAGGTACCTACTATCATTTTCATACATACATAATTGGTATCATGTTGTAGAATAGGTCTGGGTTGTGATAGTTAAGTTAGTTGTTATATTTCTTCTTCAAGTTTTTTTAAATAAACTTCATTCTTTTTCTTTTTTCTTGTAATTATTTATATTTATGTTAAGTTTACTATTGTAATCTTTTGGAGAAAACAATAAAGAGTATCTATCTATCTATATCTATCTTTTTTGCCCGGAATAAAACATTTTGTCGAAAAGTAAACAGTTTGAAACATGCTTCAAATATGATTTTTTTATTGCTTCTGATGATTAAAATTATGTTTCTAATATATATTTTATTATATAGGTATTTTATTATGATTTAATTATATATAATATATAGTTACCAAATTATTAAGAACTGTTAGGTAGGTGTCAAGATTTGAATCTTAAAATAGCTGTTGAACTGTCAGTTATAATATATAAATATATAATTAATATCAGCGAATTATGGTAGAGTTATATTGATTGTATTTACACTCCTTCAAGTGTTATCGATTTTGAAAACTGACTATCTTTACATCCTTATTTACTTACACCTTTTACAACACATTTACATCAAATATATATTTTATACATGTAAAATATATATACCCTATTTACATCGAATTGGTATTACTAATGTTCCATTCAAATACTCTAATAAGAGCATATAATTGTATTTATTTTGTCGAGATATACCTATATATTAAGCAAATTTAAATACTATAAGATTGGAATGTGTTGCAGCTAATAGATAGGTGGGTACAATCGTTTCTTAAACCTATGTTCAGCAGTGCACATGAATGAATGAAATGAACTCATTCTCTTTAGGTAATACGTGAAAATGTTACGAAGAGAATATCATATTTATAGGTTAACTTTAATGAGTAAATTCTAATGTGCTATCATTGAGCGGCATCTCTCCAATATCCATAGTAGCGAATAGATTTAGAACACTACCCACATACAGGCGGCACCATTAATTTAATCGTTATTCAGGTACAGTCAGGCACCTATATAGTGCAGAGATAGCCGTCCACTCGGTGCGAGATAAAAGTCGGCGGGCGCCGGCGTCGACACATAAATAAATATATTCATTAGGTGACACCCACGCGGTATCTCGCCACTAAATCGTGCGTGTCCCCAGCCAGGCTGTCCCGCTCCCTTGACGCGGGAGGCTGTACGACACTCAGCCACTTGCAACGTACTAAAAGAAAAAGAAATACAAGGACAAATGTGAACTAATCTTTCATCCGTATACATTTTTTAAAAGTAAAGTCGTTTGGTACAGATATTGATAATTATCTTTAGATTTCTTTTTTTCTATTAGATAATGGGTTCGCGCTTGGTTTTATCTCACCCGATGGAAAGTGACGGCGACACATGAAATGAAACGCACTTACTCAGAAGATTTGAAGAGTCCGAGAATGTATTTCTTCGGGAATGCAGAAGTAGAAAGAGCTTTTCTCTCTTCGCCAGTTCGTACCAGGAATGATTATACGATGACGATGTATATAAAACTGTATCCCTCGGCTTTCCAATATCTATTTTAATTTATCTAGATAATTAAGTTTTAAAACATTTAAAAAAATGTTACCCAAAATAGGCCAGTACCAGTTTATTTTTAGTATAGGGCTATGAAACAAAAAAATGTGAGGATGCGAAGCCAACAAAAATTTACTTGGTCATGCAAAGTCACATTAAAATTCGTAGAGGATTCAGATTTATTAATTTCACTATTATAACATACCTATTAATAATTAAATTCAATTACATTTATTAATAAATATACAGTTATTTTCTGTTCCTTTGACGCGTTTGTACATTTTTACTACTAGGTATGTATTGTCAGCGTGTGCAATAAATTATACAAATAAATTAGGTGCATGCATTGAAAATATTTCAATTTTTAATGAATATTTTAATTTAAAAAGATATATTCATGTATGAGTAATGCAAAAATAGACATAAATCACAATAATCACGTTATAAATAATTTGAGAGTTAAATTTTGTTAGTTTCTTATTTTTGTACCTATATATGTTTATGCTTTTACTCGTTCGCGTGACCGAGATATGTTGACTGATATTATTACGAAAAAAAAGTAGCCTATATTTTTCTTCAGCCCATATTGTATGTGTATACAAAATTTTATAGTGATCGATTAAATCGTTAAGGTGCTACAAGGCAACAAACAAACAGTTTGTTTATTTGATAGGTACCCTTTCATATTTATAATAAAATATTAGTAAGGATTATTCTTATAGAGTGCATAATTGAAATAAATCAACTGAAACTCTTTTTCGGCAGTCGGGTAAAAACAGTATGTAATAAAAAAAAAATAATATTTTGTTTTTCATATTATTCTGGCATGACTATCGATTTTATGAATTCGGTTGACTCGAAAAAAAAACATATTATACTTATCACATTACTAGGAAAAAAATGAAATTTATGTTCAACTATTTAATTTGTTTTTTAATTTTTTGTCAACATATTTCTAAGTATTTTATGTAAGTGTAGTGTATATGTCTTTCAGCGGATCAATAGAGAGATCTTAATCATTCGTTTATTATTGTCTGTCGAATTATAAATTTGATTTTTAAATCCATAAAAAAACAATGATTGTGCCGACAATCCGACGGCATTATGGCTCTTATATTTACACATCTAGAATATTATTTTATGTTTATTTTTTTTTTAACTAATTCTGTCTATACTTAAGATTAAAATTTAATTTGTCTGTTTTGTGAAACTATTTATTGTGTTAAAAATCAAATTTATTGTAGTTGATTCTGTCTCATTTATGAAATAAATAATTATTACCTAATTACTTTAGACAGATTTGTGAAATAAAGAATTTGTTATATTATCACATAGGTATTCATTTAAATAGAGAGTTTTGATACTTTGTACAAGGTAATTAAAAATTAAATTTTTATTGTTTAGTAGAGCTATACTAAACATGAGGTAAGTAGAGATTACTGACTTGTTTCTATCTTTATACCATAATGACAACTGAATGAATCTACAGAATTTCAATTATTTTATTTAACAATTAAAGGTTTGGGTACTTTTTTTTAAACATATAATTTATTGTGTAAATTTACTAATAAAAAATATCAGGGACAAATATTACATAATAACCTACATAATATATGACGTACATAAAATACCTACCTAATTTGTGACGGTAACATTACAGGTAGATAATGTAATAGAAAGTCATCTTAATAAATCTAAATAGACATAGGAAATAGTGCTTATAAATCATCAGATCAGTATATGGAGTCGGCTATTAATTGAAAAATAAAAAATAAATCTAGATCTTCTATAAGTGTATAAGCATATTTTTTATACACCAAGATTTATATAAAAAGACTGTGGTTTTAAATAAAAATTGCTTCCATTTTAAGCAGTGCTTTCGGCTTGGAAGCCGTTTATTTTACTATAGACGTAAAATACGAGAGAGCTCTGTTATGCTTTCAAAAAGGAAACCGCAATGTTGTTCGAGATTGATATAAATTAAAGAGTAGCACAACAAAGCATATTTATCGATCAAAAGAGACGTGGAACTAGGTACCTACATTTAACGCCAGTTGGACATCGACGGGACCTTCCGGCAATTCTGTTTCACCTGCAATTATAAATAAAAACGCGCTGTGATACATTCACTGTAATAGCAGTAATAGTACCAACCTACCCGATCAAAAGATGTCCATTTACGTATATTTTGCCGTAGCAATTTGCAAACCTCTTTGCTATCGATAATTGTTGGCTAATTTGGTTTTAATTTCCGCTGATTATGCTACTACCTATAATATGGCGCTGTTAGTCGCTATTTGTTTTTTCTTTTATAGTCTTAACTATTTTTTGTACAACAAATATAGTACCTACATACAAAAATTATAAAATACACATATATAGTCTAGGTAAGTATACCTACTTATACTACTGTATAAAATAAAAATGGATAAACATCTACTTTTTGAATTACTTATTCAAAAATTATAAGTCTGAAATCATAAAAGAAATTAAGTTAAGGCGCATTTCCTAATTTCTTTTTGTTGATGTAGTATTATAACATCTGCTTTTTTCCCAGAGAGCCTATGAATAATTACAATTGACAACTTGGAAAATAAAGACTTTAGAATAAGCAATAAAGTACATATAAAATAATGAGTTTACTCTTCGAACTAATTAAAAGAATGCCTTCAATACAACAACTATAGCCGGATGCTAAGCGTGAATAACTAAAACTACACTTAATTAAGAAGTTAGTTAATGTATGGTTGTCGTCTCTTAAAATATTATCGATTTCATATTGGAGAAAAAGAGAGGAATATACATTAACACCTCCGTTACGAAGAAATGGTAAAAGATCACCTGTGCTCACTACCGTAATTTTACCAGTCGGTAGAGCACCTGTCCCTTTCATGCGATTCAAGCTCAGGCCGAACCGAACGAGTGCGAGTAGGAGTAGTTTCATTCCTGTTTATAAAGAAAAGATCATAAATGCCTTTCCAGAGGAGAAGTAAAGTGAACTTTATGTCCAATAGATACATATTATATTAGATTGTCATGTTTGTGTTTGAAATTTCAAGCCAAAGAATGGGACGGAAGGCTGCAATCGAATCGAGCGCTGCCGTAATTTTGACGCGTTCAGAAATCGAATTAAGAACGTTAGAGTGAGAGGTTCTTGGAAGCTCTATTCAGTGGAGGTAGTTTTTTGTTATTGTTTGGTAGCGGAGATTTTTTTCCGAGGCGTGCGAATGGGAGTAGGCGCGCGAGTGGGCGCGCCGGCACGACAAGCGCGCTCTTCAGTGTTCTGGCTGAGCTTCAAGCGAACGCGTGCGGGCGGACTGTTATCCGTCCTATAGGTGCTATACTCCTGGCTTATGAATTAAACATACAGAACAATTATAGGAGCAAAAAATCTGGACTTGTACAATCAAATCGTGAACAGTAACTGAGTGAACTCTTGGTTGGTGCCGCATGCTCACGTTCCGAGAAGTTCGTAAGTGGACGGTGGCCCGACCATGTTGATATCGGCGGGCAGTGGCCCCACGCCTGAATTTTCCCCTGCCTCGTGCTGCGCACCCTGGAAGATGGAACCGGCCCCTCCTGCGGCCGCAGCCATCGCACAAACTCTCAATTTATCCCCTAATGGTAAGTACTTTCTTATTCAAGTCAAAGATACTTTAAAAAATGTAAAAGTTATGTGGGGAGCAACTGTGATTAGACGCCTACCTAAGTTTTCTTTTGATATTAACAATTTTCTATATTAAATACGTTATTATCGCAAATAACTTAATCTACTAGATATATGCTAATATTTTTTTAAACCGGAAAATTAATACGAGTAAGATATTTCACTTATTATTACTTAATATTAATTTGTTAATTTTTCAATTTGCCAAAATTGCTATATACTCAAATCTATGTAGTTTTAGTTAAAAATATTAATTAATATGCTTAGGTATATGAGAATTATAGATATAAAACAAGGGGATTTTTGTAAATATATTATATTCTCTACATATTAATTATAATAAGAAATATATAATAAGTAAAAAGGCATATTTAACTAATTAGGCAAATAAGTAATAATATAATAAGTCTTAGACTTATGTAATTTTACAGTTACCTAATGTTTTAGAAGATAGAATAACATAAAAAGGCACAGATGAGACTGATTATCTTGATCACTAAGGAAAAGAGGTACCTATATTCAACAATGATTCAAAGAGTGAAACATTGGAAGAGTCCAGATATATTTTTGTTTTTATAACATTGTTAAATGAATACATTTAGGTCACATTAGAAAAATAGCATATTGATAAAACAGTAATGCTATTTTAATTTTGCTTTCAACAATCTTTTGCAGCTTTAAAAGTTACAAATTTGACAAATTATGTCTTTTCTACGACAGAATCGAGGTTATGGTTCGAAGTAAATAGCAAAGGTAGATAGGAAACTTTAAAACGAAGAGGCATAACTAAGTAAACATTCCATTTCCTTCTAATATATTGTCACTTCAAATATTAAAATAATATGCAAATTTTTGTTTCAGTAAGTTAAAAGAGAAACAGTTAAATATTTTAGTTTTTGACACAAAAATGTGGAAAAATCTTCAATTTGAATTTTCTTGAGTCTGTCTCGCTCTGTAATTTAGCGTAAAAATTTTGGTTTTACATATATGTATTAATTTTTTATAGCAGATGTATTTTTTTGTATATTTTTCTATAACATTTTTAAACATTAGATTGTTTTTTATGATAAATAAATATTGAAACAGTAGCTTACCTACCTAGGTACCTTTTGTTATGAAAAAGAAAACTCATGTATGCAAACAATGTTTTTCTCTGTCAACTGTCGACGATATCCGATTTTTTTTAAATATTATGCTTGGCCATGTAGTCCCGGCATACAATAGGCTGCCCCTTCCTTTCCCGGGGGTGTCAGAAGAACCGACTAAGGGAGGGCGAGAGATAGGCAGCAGCGTCCCTTTTAAAACGTCTTTAAAGCCTGACAGTGGTTGCCAATTCGCCTGCTAAGCATGGCAACTACTGGTAAAACCTCCCAAGGGGGAGGTTTATGTTCAGTAATGGACAGTGAAAAATTGATATGATGATGATGATGCTTATGAGTGCACACTATATTACTTGCATTTTATAAATAAACTTTGCAACATAAATATTGTGTGTAGACAGTAAATTTATTTTGATACAAATGTAAATGTGAAAATAAAATAAAAATAAATAAATTTACATAATTCTTTAAAAAGACTAAGGAAAGTATAAAAACTTACTGTGGTCGTAACATTAAAGTTAATACAAAATGATGTGAATTATTATTCCATTTAAATCAATCTATTAACTTCAATATAGTATTATTCAGTATTTGCTTATACTTCAATGAAATAAATAAGAAGCATTTGGCGTTCCATTGTTTCTGCCTACTCTAATGGGAGACAGGCGTGACAGCTATGTATGTATGTATGAAATAAATGGGTTGGTAATAGGTAGTATTTCTTATTATGAAGGAATGAATAACAAAATATTTTGTTTTATTCATTAGTTTTTTTTTATTTTATTTTAATATTACATCTATTTGAATTATATGATGATATATGAATAATATTCCTACTTTATTATATAAATAAGCAAATTATAACTTTAATTTTATTTTAAATTAATTTCTGCAATTGAATTATTGAAGAGAGAATTAGAATCAAAAATAAATGTTACACTAATATAACAAGCATCATATATTGAAAAGAAACAAAATTATAATGGCGTATTTTAGAATGTATCCCATAGAAATTGGCCTAGTATGGGCATGCTTAATATAGCTTACATATATCTACCTTATTATATATCTCACAGATATACAGACAGATACATAGAGAATGTAATACTATAATAATATGAACATATCACTATAAAACTAGTACCTTGTTGTTATAAAAGCTTTCTACTACCAGTAACTTTTTACTGAATTCATTTGTAAAATCATCTATAATTTTGTTTTTGTGAATAATTTATTTCTTTTTGAATATAATTTAGGTCTATAATTAGACATTCCATGTATAATTTCCAAATCTATTTAAACGTATATCCTTGATGTATAATATATTGCTTTGTTAATGGATGATAAGTTAGGTTGGACCCATTGTCATGTCTTTTTGCACATGTTTATCCTTTTATGGCAGCCTAAGATATCCATGTTAATAGAGTGGAACTTGCCTTACTATAATGATCGACAACCAGATTGGTAAAGGTAGCATTCCAAACGCATTGAAGATAACAATTGACAGAGATAGGTGACAGAGTCGCGATATTGGTATGTGGTGAGTTGAATGTCGCGACCTGTGTATGAGAGTACGACTGCCGACGGCCAATAGCTGTCTCCACCTACCATCACTTCCCATTAGGTGAGGTAATAACAATCGCAAATTCATGTTGTATTAAAGAAACACTTCCATGTGGTCCCCCTGGAAACCGTCGTGGAATTCCTGGTCAATTTATCACGATGAGCCAACTGACTTTACTTCGTCTTCACCAATCATTCCTCACTGGTATTTTGTTAGTGTATACCCATAAATCGAGCGTGAATATTACTCCACAATTAACTTATAAGAATCTATCTTCATCGTTGTATCTCGCTGTGTTTAGGACACCACCTTATGAAATATGATTGTAGTATAAAAATAAAGAAAATTTTTAATTATTACAAATATACTTCAATAATAAAAAAATGTGGAATTGATTGATGCCTGTTGATTGTAAAAAATAGAAGTATAATCAGAATTGCTAAAGATGTCGCGTAATATTTACATAAAAAATACAAATGAATTGAGAACATCCTCCTACATTCCAGTTTCTGAAATTATATATCCATTGCTCTATTAGTTGAACAATCTTTGTTGTTGTACCTATTACTATATGATATTGGTATTAATGCAGATTTTGCCTTAAAATTATTTGCATAATCTTAACTTTTTTATTTTCTTCTATTGCCCTTTTTGTTACTATAAGTTTGACCCTCAAAGCACTTGTTATAAGAAATTCAACCCACTGTATATACAGTAGTTATAAATCAAAGACTTTTTTAATATGGAATAATCAGTAACTGTTTTTTTATTTGATAACGCACAGTGCATATTTTTGAAGCTACCCCTTTAATATTGTATGTATAAAAATATAATTATTTCGATATTATATACTTGATAACTATCTATCTAGTTTTACCAATGGAGAAAATAAAACTGTGTATTAAAAATAATAAGAACTCAACACACGTAGGAGCAATCATTTGTCATAGCTCGTTCAGCAACCCAGCTGCCTGAATGAGTGAGCGAAAAGAGCAGGCATCACACGACATTGTCAGCATTGTATTGCCGATCGAACTAATTAATCGGTAGATCGGCCGATAGATTGTCCGGTAGCGTTTCCGGCAATGGTTGCTCAATATTCACCAGGCAATTTAATGATAAAGCATTTGAAACGTTTTGATTAAAGATATTAAACAATTGGACAGAAAGAATTAGATGTATTGTCGAGTGCCCCAGTTCTGAGGAATCGGTGCTTATTATTTAGTAAGTAGTTATTGCAATTTCTTATATATACATATGAATTATCTTTACTATAGTATATTATAATCAAAAGTATCTAGAAGTTGAAACCAAAATACTTTAAATGAGATTTCTTCTAGTTTTTCTCATACTTTTTCTCAACTCCTCGTAATTAAATAATAATGACACTTATTACCAGGTCCTTATGCTAGAGAAAGGAAATAAAAAAATATATTCATCATCATATATATATTCTTTATTGCACTAAAACATACAGTAACAACAATAAGTTAATAACAATGTTAGGAACATTTAACCGTCTACTGCTAAATATAGTCTTCCTTCATAGATTACGGAAATAAGGATATTCCTCATAAAGAACGGGCCTGAGCTATCTGCATCCCTGTAATGTATTTGAGGTTGTCGCTCCATCTAGTGGCGAGTTATTCTTCACTGCATTTGTCTATAGGGGTTATTACTCAAGAACATTTCTTCTCAACGGAAAATAAAATAAAATTTCATAAATTAAAGAACTGCTTGAATTTCAGTAAAGAAGATAAGTCTTATTTTTTTCTTGTAAAATCCGGCAGAAGGTTTGAGATATAATAACGAGTACTACTATTACTCTCTACAACATATTATTAAAACGCAACGCTCTAATGAATAGAAGATGTTAATTGGATTAAGAATAAATTATCAGAATACTTGAATGATTAGAAAGATAATCAAGCCTCCTCTAGGCATATAGTGGTGGAACAATCATGGCTTGAATTACTGGAAGAATCGAACTTATTTAGATCGGATGCAATTTTAATGCTTAAATTTGTATTATATCAACTGTTTTAGATATTGCCATTATTTTGTGAACCCAATTGGGTACTTTTCTCTTGGATTTTGTATTATATTACTTACCCATATTTTATTGAACTAGTTGTTATTTTGCAGCATTTCACTGGTTATTTGGTCAGAAATATTTTGTTTAATTCCGCTACCATTAATTTGTGTGCGATTGCTAATACTAGAATTTTGATTACTATTATTATTACTAGAAGTTCTATAATCTTCCATCATTATGAGATATGGCAGTGAATTT